TGATTGGTTCACAAGATGACAGACTGGTTGGTAGGCTGATTGGATGATATGATGACTGGCTGGTTGGTAGGCTGATTGGTTCACAAGATGACTGGCTGGTTGGTAGGCTGATTGGTTCACAAGATGACTGGCCATTTGGTAGGCTGATTGGCGCACAAGATGACTGGCTGGATGGGAGGCCCTCTAGAGGAAATGTCAGCTGGATGGCATGCCCACCTTGACTGGTGTGAAGTTTAGAAGTTGTTGCATGAATAAATTATTCAAACAGAAGAAAACAAGAATGACAAGGAGTTGAAGTTTTGTTAAGAAACTTCCAAAGTGTCGAGCCCAAACTGCACTTTAAACCAGGGTCCCATCCTTTGTGCTTAAATGAATTCTGGAAAAAGAGCTACATGGGCCACATAGCATGATGGAGACTATCCTTTACACATTTCAATGCAACAAAAAAAAACAAGATTTCAATATTATTGAAATGATTGGAGTAAAAAAGGAAAAACCACTGCTCTCAGCTGTGCTGCTATAAATTTCACTTCTGTCAATTCGTTTCAGGCCCTGTGGGCTAAAACTTGATTGTTTGGAAAAGCATACATAATGAAACGTTAATGGCACTTGGATGTGTCTACAAGAACTTACTTGATCCAAGCTTTTCTTCTTGCTTGCTGGATTCTGTACAGGAAGTTCCAATGTTTGCATGATGGCAGTGTCTCATGTAGCCACCTGTCCTGTGGACAGGGAAAAACGTCAGAGAGGCATTTTTGGATATTTCAAAATTTACAAGCCGTCACATTTACGTATATTTTTACGCTGATGAGTAAGTCTTTATGGTTCCTTCCAAAGTGGTGCAAGCTGCAAGCATTCTCTTGAGACAGTAGTTTAAATGGGCAGAAGTCAAAGAAACCAATTTGTTGGGGCAGGTAACATCAATGAACCCTTCCACAGACACCGCACGAGTAGTTTTACACAATGGTAGAAAGGCACCGTAGGAAGGAAAAAGGGACAATTTTGGCCCACAATACCTTCCATTTGAAAAACGAAGGCAGCGTTTCGTGTGTCGGAAGCCAAGGCACCCGACAGGTGCCATAGATGCGTTATTCATGTTGTCACAGTATCGCTTAGCGTAAGTTGCATGCGCACTTTGCTAGTATGCGAGTGGAGCGTACGCACATATTAATGTCATTCAAATTTAATTTCACCGGTTCCTTGTTCGTCTGTCACGCAAGATGTGACGGGGTACCAGTTTTGCATGGTATAACGTATACAGAGCACCCGCCGGGTGCCTTGAAATCTGACGCACGAAACGCTGCCTTTGTTTTTCAAAAGGACGCCACCCGTGGTCAGCATTTTATAGTACAGGACAGGTTTTTCGAGGCGCCATACATTGGAAAATTTACGATTTTGGAAAGCTTTAGGGTGCGCTGGTTTGAAAGTCCAAACTCTGAGAAATACGCCGGTGTAATTAAAATTGGCGAGTCATTCTTATTTCGGAAGATATTAGGATTCAAAGTTTGTGACAATCCTGCAGTTTGGCTTTCAGGCATTTAAGACATACCTGAAGTAGGGCTGTGGTGGCGACAGATATGAGACAGATTGTAAAAGAGAGCCACTACAGCCCACGGATCCCGATCCATCCTTATCCACACATCCATAAACGCAATTTCGTGTCGGCGTACTGAACATTTTCGGCGCACCCACTTATCACCGTGGGCGCAATTATGTAATACACGGACTGAGCGATAAGACAACACATGTACCAATAGGCTCTTCCAAAACTTCGGCAGCAGTTTAGATGTCTTGACACGGAACAGCCGTCGAGACGATGAGGGGTCAAGTGACGTAATGTTCAACGACTTTATTTTAAAGATGGCGACTGTGAGAGCGAGCTTGTTAATTGAATGGATAAAGGAAAAAAGACTGGAAAATACCTGAATAACGTGAGTGAAATCATTCAATAAATGGTTTTTAGAAAGCGGAAAGGTAAAGGATCATGTCCGTGTGCAAAAGAAATTGCACCAACGATGATAAGTGGGTGCGCCGAAAATGTTCAGTACGCAGACACGAAATTGTGTACACGGATGTGTGGCTAAGAATGGATCGGGAGTGAGAGTCCGTGCCACAGTAGTGGGGCTATACTGCAGGCACACACAGCCCGATTTGTGGGGCTAGTAGTAGTACTAGTAGTACAAAACACGCACATCACCAAATGGCAACAGCATTGTCATGAAATCCCCCTATGGATATTACCCTCGTTTACAGTTTAAACTTACAAACAGCATTTCTCATCCCGAAAGTTTAAAAAAGCTTCAACTTTCTTTGTAAATCCTCCATTTTGCAGATGAAAACACCACATTTTCTTTCACACCAGTTCAACAACTAGCGCGCATGTTCCACAGATAAAAACGCCCTCTGTTGAAATAACGAAGAGCGCCCTCTATTGGAATTACGAAGAGCGCCCTCTATTGAAGCGCTCTTTAACTAATTAAGGGCGCCCTCTATTGATGACATAAAAAGCTGCCGACACAAAAAGGAAGAGCGTCCTCTATGGAAATAAATTAGAGAGTTGAGTAATTATGGTTTATAGGACGCCCTCTGTTGAGTCAAAACTAAATACAGATTGTACCCACATTATCTTTTTTCTTGCTCATGATAGCGCCCTCTATAGGTGGCACCTTTTTAAAACCACCAGCCTCTAAACCAGCCGTTGATTTTTGATCACCTGCTACTTTTAGTGACCACTAACTTCTTAGAACAACCAACTAAAATATCTATCAACAAGCTACAAGGGGTGTCAGACCATAATCAGGTGTAAACGGTAAAACTATCTCCCCGCGGTAATTGTGTCCCCCCCACCCCCAAACACTTACCGCGGATCGCACCCCCTTAAGTTGTCCGGGGGGTGCATTTATTTTAGGAAAATTAATCCAGCCAAGAGATGTTGCGTCCTCTTTAATTATGTAAGTCATACACAGGCAATTGTTTAAAATGGTATAGTATCTGCTTACGTCATAATCTGAGGGACACACCGACTTCTGTGTGTTTGTGATTATGAGCCACAGTTGCGGCTGTGTAGTTAGTTCGATCTTTTATATATTTTTAAAAAATAACGAATCGATAAAAAATTAGCTACGACAGAGATTATTTTCAATGAGGCGCGAGGTATCGGGGACCTTGCCAGAAACTGAAGATGAATGGAAGAAAGCGATTCAGATGAATGGGAGAAAGCGAACAGTTTAAAAAAAAAAGTTTTAAATTTTCAACTTTTTAGTTGTCTCCTTAGGGTCACCATACCGATGGCGACTGAAATATAGCCTTTTCTGCAATTAAGGTCTTGTCTGTTTTCGGATCACACGGTCACTTCCTAATTTGGATTCCAGCAACAGCTTTATGTTTCAAACGAGTAATCAAATTTTGAGATATGAAGCTGCAAAGAATTTCATTTTCATTTATCTCAAATGATTTAGATGTACAAATATTTCTAGGGTGAGCGATACATGGCTTTGGGACCAAGCCGCGATTTAAAAAGGTCCTTTAAATGGGGGGGGGGAGCCATCCATGAAGGACAGCACCCAGACTTACCAACCCGATATTTCACATTACAAGACAAGCGTAAATAGAGTACCCGACTACTAAGAGGTAAATTTTTTAGCATCATGATTCAGTGATCGTCGCAATGAAAATTCCTTCGGTGTTTACGTAAGGCTTTGCCTTTGAAGCCAGTGTTGTATTGACCAACGAATAGCTGAATGTGAACACGGTAGGTACATTTTCGATTTTTTTCCCCCTTACGTTAAATTTTCTGAAATAAGCCTAAAGCTTTCATACAGGCTCGGCCATATGTCACTTGTCCGGATCAGATCATGGTGGTAGGCGCAGGCCTAGTCTCGACTCCAATTTTACTAGTTTTTAATGGGCCTACCCATATAGGACATAGGGCCTACCAAAATCAGTTTGACACAGTGAATCTTCGAAAATAACAGTCCAGTTGTGTTCAGAATTACGTAATTGCTTAGCACAGCATTCAGCTTTTAGACTTTCATCAGGAAATCTTCATGCAGTTGGCCTACAGACATGACAGTGGAACAAAGTTCCGGTTTCTGTGTAATGTTAGATCATATTCTCGTCACTGTCCTGACTGTCATCACTGGTCTGTGTAAGTTACTTCCAGTCTGGAAATAGGATAAGCCTACTATCTGGTTTTACCATGGTTTTACTGAATAAATCTGGAAATAACAGATTGTGCCAAGCAATATGATTCTGAACACAACTGGATAATAATTTTTAAAGGTTTGGGGGTCGTGACCAATTCTGTCAGGGGTGTTAAAACAAAATCTTTCTGAATTAAAACCAAGTTCAATTTTGGACTTTATAATTTCCCTTTTAGCAATAAAAAAAATCCTTCAGAGCCATAGATCTTGAAAAAAGGAGAATATCCTACAATGTATTGTAGGAATTAATGTAAACTAACAAAAAGATGACCTTTCAATTTTTGGGGGGTAGAAAATCTGTGAAATGCAAATGGTTTTCCAATTCTTGAGCCACAAGCCACATTCACATTCCCATGCGCTCACTAAGTGTAAATGTATTTCTATTAATTGTATTGGGCCCGTGTCAGTGTTTTAAAATAACATGCAACCAGATACCGGAAAATACACACTTCAAAAAGTGCTTTCTCTTCTGGGAGTTTCAGGAAAAAAAACAAGTGGGCGGAGACTACCCCTAGAACTGTGGGGTTTGTGGCGGACGACACCCCTCCCCCAGTTCTGGGGGTAGGCAGAGACAAGAAACTGATGTTTTTTTTCCTTGTACACATCGTCATAACCACTCTTGCAGATTGTCTCTTAACAAAGAGGGTCAACGAAGACTTTGACGCTCTCACTTTGCGGTCATTTTGCAAAACTTATGGATGCACCTTGATGCTTAATGAGCAAACATCAGTACAACCAAGATGGTCCACTCTCATATTGAGGATTCGGTGATCCGACGGCACAGCAGTACTCCGGTGCAGTCCACTATGCACACTGAGAACAGCGGAGAAATTGACGACTGCGGCACGGACGAGTGCCAAAGTGTATGTTAATAATATCAGTGTACCTGATTTTTTGCAAAACTTTAATATTTTGGGAGAGCTCAAGTATTCCACAACAGTCGTGTTGTGTTTATGTTTCAGCGATGCTTTCAGTCGTGTTTCTGTGTATGTTTAACAGATTAGGACCTCTTCAGTGCAGAAAGCATGCCAGACATGATCAGGTCAACTCTACTGTCTCACTATTTTCATGAATTTCTCTGTACCTTTCAAGAGGCAGAGACAAGGTCCTCCGTATTTCACCTGCCAAATTTGAGGTCTTATGCGAAGGTCAATTTTCTTCAACCTTTTTTAGCGCTGAGAGTGAAGCCAAGTGATTTCAATTTGATCGGCCGGGACATGTTCAACTTCTTCAAAAGATCAATGATTCAGTAGTCTGGTGACAGCGGTATTACTATAGAGAGACTGTGTAGAAAAGACACCGGATACCGGATCTTTTTCATGCATTGAATTAAGTAATTAAAAAACCCTTATTTTTGGACTCTTATACACAATTTTCTGACCAAGTAAATATGTTTTAAATATCTGACTACAGCTTGTCAAAGAGTTCAACACAGAGACAGCACGGTATCACGACCTGGTCCTGGCACTCGGCGGCTCCAGCGACTCGGAATACCTGCGAGACGAACTCAAGAAAACAAGACGCACTGCGTCTGAGCTGGCCAGACGCAGCAAGCAAACGCTCATACCTCACCTCAAAGCGTGAGTACCGCGTAGCCAATTTACGCCCTTAATGGCTCCACAAAATTAAGTCGAAGAATCTTGTAGCTGATCACATGCTACTATGTCCTCAGAGAGTCTGCTAGGTAGAGGGTTGTAACAAAAAAAGCTGGAGTCCGATTGCCTATGAGTAGTGCTTTTTTTCTTTTTACCTTGAAATCATCCCTTGGCTTAATTGTCCTTTGCGGCAGGGATTTCGATTTCAAGTCTGAGCGTGGTGACTACGAACGACTGTGGAACATGTTTGTGTCGTGCGCAGAGCTGTACGAGAGTCATCTCCGTAAATCATTGGAACTGGAGAGGTCATTCCCCATCCATGCTGGTAGGTCCCTCCCGGTTCGCAGACTTGGTGAATTTCTAACCAAGATTTCTCAGAAGGGACGATTAGTCAGCATCTGTGGAATATGTCGACCTACCCCAGATTTTGGTCGTTACTTTTTCTTCGTCAGCTGTTTGATCTAAAGTAAATTTAGCTAGCGAATTATCTGGTCAACAGGTTGTAACCAGACAACAAAATAACACGACTCGATTTCTGTCTCCCTTAACCACTTTTTGCTGGAGGATTTGGAAATTCAATCTGGCTAGCTGTAAACACAGGCATGGCCAACTGGTAGAAACGTCAAGCAATGTCTCAGAGGTCACGCTAAAGAGATATACAAATTTCTATTGCACTGATTCTTACAAATCACTTGTGCCATTTGGCTGAATATCTAAAATTGGCTGCTTGCCTTTTTCGAACGTCAAAATCTTCAGCAAAAAACTAACACCCTCAGCACCCTCAAACTCGTTGATGGACATCTGAAGATCCGCTGAAGATTTGTGGGTTGAAGGTCTAGCACAGCCCATAAACACAGCCCCAGTGTATTAAGATTAATGCATCACTGTACACGTACATAGCAAGTAAATTTGAATAATCAGTTTCATGTTTGTTTATCCAGGTCCACATGTTCTGATCAACACGGGGGTGATGGAACCTGTCGGTGTGGACAACATTCCGGTCAACGTCGAGAACCTAGACGTGCCCTCCGTGGACCGCATGGTGCTGGAGAGAGAGGACTTGAAGAACCAGGAGAGGTGAGAGTGTCTTGGAGATTGATGAGGATAGGGGATTGTCTAATCTTAGTGTTGTCAGACGTATTATCGTTCAGTGCAATCCATGGCTCAGAAATTCAAGCGTGAAGTACTGTTTGCCGTGAACTGAATCACCGGTCGACCACTGTTCTTCACTTGATGTTGCGCCAAGATTGACTCGCCATCCGCTCTTTTCTGAAAAATTTCCAGAGACATCCTGGAGCTGCGGAATCTGATCTCTGAGATGCAGCGGCGCGTGGACATTAAGCCCTGGATGATTGAGCCCTTGCTGGACTACAAACTGGACTACGAGAAGTCGCAGTCCTCGCTCAGCGACATAGCCTCGTCCAACGGAACGGTGAGTTCGCTCCCCCCCCATCCCGCGCGGGTATCAATCAGACCATGAAAGAAGATTTCTTACACAACAAAGTGACTGATTTTTGTCTTATTCATTTGCAAATTGCTTCCCTCAGCTGCAAATTTTTCTCACGAGTAAACCAGGATTTCCTGACCGTAAACAAGTGAGCTGTAAGTTTTGTGATTCCTTGAAATTGAAAAGAGCTTTCTTGCGAGTTAATTTGTGGTTCATAGGCTGTTTTTAGTAGGCATAAACAAGACTATAAAGAACAAACTAGATAACAACCACCACCTACTGTGACATATTTGAAAACAAGACCAAAAAATCTTCGGCAAAATTTTGATCAATGATTTAAAAAATTGAATTGAATACGAAATAGAGGAAAAAAACTTGATAATTCACCAATTTATGAGTGTCAGGGCAAAGTTTCAGCTTCCACATTTCCAATCCTGCAGGAGACGACCTATGACCCCCACCAGCGTCGCAAGTGCATCTGCCTGGTATCCATTGCCTTGCTCTCCCTGGTTGCCTTCACCGTCGTGCTGGTGGTCTGTCTGGTCAAGTTTGACACAAAAACGAATGGTGATTAGCAGTGCTGTACGGAGAAAGTTAGAAATGAGAAGCCAACTGGCCCCTAGAAAAAAGAAGTTAGGCACCAGGTCGATTTTCCTACATACTGTACACACATTTGTAAAATAAACAAATTACATTTACTAGTACAAAATCTGACAAAATGCACAGAAACATGATTCTGTCAATTAGCAGCAGGACAGATGGGCTTTGGATTTTGTGCTTGTGGAATAAGTCAAAAATAGCAATCAATTATATGAAAAAAAAAGCCGAAAGAAAAGACACGCATGTTTGTTCTCTTACATGTTCTTTTGAGTATTTCGTAGGCCCACCTGGAACGGGACCAGACCAAGGGAAACTTCAAGTACATCTGGGACTGTAAGAAGTTTATTGCAGGCATAGATTGCTGGTGCATCATGAATATGCAAAATGCCTCAGCTCCCCATACACACTCTAGACGGCGTGTGATCACAAACCAAATGCGACTGTTTTGGTGGCACTGTACTGCACTGGTGATTAGTCGTATGTTGGAAGTGTTTCACATTACATGACAACAAGGCATTGTTTCTGGGCAGAGTATCATTCTTTTTCCTTGGAGAACTGAACCTCTTGAAATAGAGCATTTTTATTTTCTTGTAAAGTATTCAAAAACCTTTGTGCCAGAAGTCTCATTTTTAGATTACATAAATGATTTTACAAAATTTGGGTATTTTGTGTTATCGCACTTCGTGTGGATTTATGTATTAACGCAGGAGCCTCGCCAAGAGGTCATTGTGCTGTTGTCATAGCGACTGTCTCGCGCTTTGTTTCTAAGGTCAGTATTCTTAATGTTCCGTATTCTGTTCGAACAATAAATCTACGAACCAAACTAACCAGCAGTTTTTTGTACCAGCAAAAAGTACTTGACTACGTAGTAAATTATACAGTTTATTTCATATATGAAAACAGATGTGTATTCATGTAAACAAACAAAGCAGTACTTCTTTTGTGGTCTGCTGAATTTCTAATTACAATAACAATGATGCAGTTGTGAGCAACTTGAACACAGTTTGAGAGGATTCAAAGACAGATGCAGTAGATAATAGACGTGTGATCTAGTACAACTCTATACTCGATAATGTCATTAACTAAATCAAATGCAGCCATGGGCTACACTGAGCATTGAGATTCACAGTGCATGTATCATCGGTGTTTGAGGTAAAGCCGGTTTGTAGCAGGGTAGCAGCCTAACAGGGTTACAACCCTGGAAAAGGTATTTATTGGCAACAAAACTGAAGCGTAAGGGACCCAAAGTACCAACTCGTGTTTTCTATTTTTGCAACAGTATTTTGATGAAGATTATTATTGGTGTACTCTGGCTTTGTTTCTTTTTTAACATAACATATTGAACATTTCCGATGTCATCAGGGTTTGGTCAATGGATCTCACTGCTATTCAAAAATTAAAGGTCAAACTTCATAGTTATAAATGATAAGCCTTTGTAGAATTCAGACTTGAGGTTTTTTGTGAGCTTGGCAAATAGATGAACATTCAGTATGTCCATCCATGTATTCAATTATTTTCAAGACAGATATATGGCAAACCACTTCTATCATTACCACGAGTGTGCTACGATTAATGTTCGATGCATTTTATTCCGTATTCAAGCATTCCTCAACACACAGTCATACCGATATAATCCTATTTATTTTAACCAGTTTTTTCTCTGTCAAATTATTGACGGAAATGAAAGCAAGAAAGACAACTCATTCCAGCATTTTCAACCACTTGTGATGTGCAATACAAATTGTTCTCTGTGTATAGCATTTTAATGATTGTTCACTCAGATTAGAAAATAAAAATATATATATATTGTGATACAGGTATTTTATTTAGTATTTTATTCAGTATTCTGTTTTTGGCCAAAATGTAGTTGTACGACACATATTTACGTAGAAGTACTCTGTGAATATATTATGCTAAACCTTTGCATGATACATTGATGTTTATGAATCTGCCTTTATATGTATGCAAAGATATCAAGAGTTTTTCTTTTTTAAACCTAAGTCAATGTGATCTGCCAGAATTGTGTGAAATACCGCATAATGGAGCCGACTTGTCAGTAAGATATATAAAAACCTACTAACAAAAATATATTTATCATATTCAATTTAAGAACAATGAAATGATTACCAGGACGTGCCTGTCAAATGTTTTGTTTGAGTTGGAAATTTTTGCTCAAATGGAAACTGTGTGCTAGTCGTTAATACCTCTAAATTTACCGAAAATGTGAACAATTTTTGGATGTAAATGTATGATCTTGATTTTACCAGATACCTTTTCATTTCATGTGAAATCTAATCATATTTTTGCTGTATTTTATGTGTGCTTTATGGGTATAATTTATGTTTGTCAAATAGCACAAGTGGTTGAAGTGAATAAAAGATGATGAACTTTGCCACTTTGAATGATTTTGTCCATCATCTGTCTTGTGTTGCCAAGTTTGAGTCGCAGTGTTTGGTTTAAGGCTCATCCTAAATGTGCTTCTCCACACTCTGCAGGTGTGACACTTTCATCTTTGGGAGATAGTGATCTGTGTTTATAGAATGCTGCCCGCTTATACACAATTAGCGATCAGAGAGTGTCAAAGGTTACACATTCAGAGAGATTTGTTGATTTGAAATATGCACTGCCATGAGTTGCATAAGTGCTGCAAAGCCCACGGCCCAAATCCAAACCTGAAATGCATGTCTTCGAACTTCCTGCCAAAGAGGGCACAATGCAATGTGATAAAATAGGTTCTCTGCAGTGACCACTAGATCGACGTACTCAATTGAGTGCTTGTTTGGGTTGCTATCACAGACGGCAGTTATTGGTTTGTAAAATTTAGTTGCAATGAAAGCGTCTACACATTTACATCATGCGGAAACAATAACCCTTCCCTCCCTTATGGTGCACCATGAATCACTTTGTGTTAGGGCACGTCCAATTTACTTGGCTGTGGCTATTAAAAAATGCATATTCCCATGGAAGTTGAGAGTTAGTGGCTTCAAGCCTTAACCAAAGACACGTGTTGTTTCAGTCGCGGCCCAGTAATTTGGACGTGTGGCTTTTTTTTTCTCCCACTAGCCCGTCTCCTGTGTTATACATACCCAGCAGCATCAGGTTTTTTACACAATGGCATCTGGGTCCCCAATGCGAGCAAACCACCTCTTGGCCGTCACGCCGTCTTTGCCGTCGTGGTGACTGATGTAGCACAGGAGCAGTCGGTCACCATCCAGCTGACACGTGGTGGTCCATTGGCCCGGCGGGTTACTGGCAGCACAGATGACCAGCTTGTCCCCTTCCCAATGCGGCACCTGTTGAAGATATGATGCACGAAAACGAGAATTGCCATATCTTGCCATTGAAGACTTCTCCATGCAGCAACTACAAGGAGATGCCATCACTGAAGCTGCACTGCAAACCGTATGAATTTGTTCTGTCCTTCTAAATTAGCATGTTTACTTCTCAAATATGGTAAAATGGAGGGGGAAGGGCCCCTGGATGTAGCAACATTTTGCCTACAGAGGGAAAGCTGCAGCATCCCAACCATGATATAATGGCCTGTTTGTGTCAAACTGATCTGGATCTCCATCAGTGATCCCAACACTGGTTTGCTCCATCTGTTAGGAGGGTTCTGGTGTCAGTGAATCAACATTGGATCACTGATTGCGATTTGGATCTGCGGGAAACAAACAGGTCCTTTAAGAGCCAAAATTATCAAGCTACATTTTCCATAAAACCCTCCACAATAAGGCTTTCTCGACAAACTGGAAAAAGTTGTGACCGCCACTTTTTTTTAAATGGCGAAAGAAGTGACAAATAAATTGCTTAGTACCCATTTGTCTTCCCAACAGAAAACCAGATTCTAAACGGCAGAAACCACGATCCACCAACTACAGTTTCAACGAGAGCTCACCCTCATTTCGCTCAGGCCATGCGCCTGGTCCAAGTACTCCTCCCCAATCTTCTGGCTTACTTTTTTCACAATGCCACCCTTCCGGGACACGTAGTCAAATGCATCTCCCTCATGAATGATCTCCAGGCTGGGTGTGTTCGCTAGGCCTCTCTGGCGCTCGGCCTCCGGTAAGCCCATAGCCTCCAGCCATTCCAAATACTTTTCAGAAGATACCAGCTCCCACTTCCCGCTGAAGTTGACACCGCCTTTGCCGGACATTGCTTATCAAATCCTAAATGCTGTAACCAAACTGAGGGCATATAAGACCAAATTACGAGTCAGTCATAGGGGAAATCACACAGCTAGTTAAAAATAACAGGTGAGACAAGGACAAAGGAAGGCAACTGTTACTTTTCGCTTGAATGGTGCATGTCTTGACTCATGGCCTGTGAGGACATGAAAGAATTCTTAAAATACGACCCTACAGTGAGAAAGCAGACACTTTGGTATTGCTACAGTCAAATATTTGTATCAAAGCATGCTGGATAGTTACATATACACATGTACATGTACATCTCCATACACGTATGTACTTGCTTACACGAGCATACCGTATGAAAGTGACGACCAGCCAATTTGCAGCAAATCCAAATGTATACCCACATTGGAAGGAAAATGAGCCCACCTTTGATCACAATCAATGGCCAAATATACCAGTAACAGTGAGGAACAGTGAAAAAGAACGGATTACGAACTTCTTTTCTCTCAAAGGAAAACCGCAATAAATTTTGAACAAACCGTCAAGTTTATCTTGTCTGCATCAGCTACCAGCAAATTGAGACGTCGGAAACGACAACAATTGTAATCTTCAGATATCAAAGATGAACACTTTTGGATGATGGCCATCACAAGTTAATGACAGCATCACACAGACACGGCTAGATCTTTTCATTATCTCACTGTGAATTTGCAAAGGTCATTCAATTCATTCAGGTCTTATCCAAACTCCTCCTACATATGACCAAACTTCATCAGGCTTCAATAGATATCCATGGGAACTGATACCAGTAGAAAAGATGATTTTGTTTTGAGATAAGCAAGTAATGAAATCGGTTTAAGCACAGCACTGTATGTACTTCGAGCACGAGTTCTGCCGACCCATACAATGCATCACCCGATAGCACGAGGTTGGTCTAGATTTGAGAGCTGCAACTTCCAAGTGTATTTGGTGGACTTAACGTCAAATGAAACTTTTTAGAAATTTACTGTAACTTCCCTTTCTGTGTAATCTGTGCTTTTTTAGAGGAAAGAATACAGTGCTTTCACCAGTGGTACAAACTGAACTGTGCCTTCTGATGCAGCTCAAAATGGCCGTCAATGAGGGTAGGTCCAACTTCCATGGCTCCTGGCATTTCATCAATAGCGAAAATTACCAGAACTTCATCGAGGAGATGTACCGAGACAGGGCACCGGACGAGCCCCGGCGACTCACCACTCCCTCCTGTACCTTAGACATCAGCATGCACGGTGACCAACTGACCATCCGGGGCGAGACCACCAGCCACACCCTGACCGTGGGTGTGCCCCAGGTGGACTGCAACCACTGGGCGCAGGAGACACGGGTGGCTCGGTGGGATGGGCAGAGACTTGTGGTGGGCAGCCCTGGGGGCGGGGGCCGTTGGACAACCATATCAGAGGTGGTCGGGGGCAAGCGACTGGTCATCCAATACGTTACTGCCAGCGGTTTAGAGACCAGGTGCTTCTACGAACGTGTAGCTGATGAACCTAAACTTGACTGAGTCATCGGACAAGAAATTTACTGGATTATTTCAGACAGTCATCAATGTTGAGTGTACAAATACATGGAGTTGAGCAAGTTGACTCTTCTCTAAACTCAATACCACAAAATTCATTATTTCAATAGGAAAATTTGTTGTGCGATGTAGGATGAATTATATACCAATACTGTAAGGGCCTATAACAACAACTGCTCAGCAAATAATGTCAGATTTGGCAATCTTACCTTTAACATTCACTAATTACCAAAGGAGAACCCAGATTTATGACAACAGAAACAGAAAAAGCAAGAGGGAAAATGTTGGAATAATCTTGAAATTGACATAAGTTCTTAAAATTTGGGAAATTAGATTTTTCATCTGAAATGATTCAAAAATAAAATCAGCTGATGTAAAAAAGTTACAAAACCCCAAAAGAATAAATAATGGAAACAGACCTCAGTTAATTCACAAAAAATACTGAGAAAAGTATCACTGAAATTAATATTTCTTTAATAAAACTTCATCCTGCAGTACATCTTTTGCCATATATTGTCAACAAAGGTAATTTTAATGCTTCATTGTTACACTACGATATTCCTAGAAGGAATTTGGAAAAAAAAACCAAAAGACCAAAAGACAATATGATAAAAGCAAGTGGTTACACCTGATTGGTAACAGGACTTCATGGATAAAACCAAACTTTTGACAAGACAAACAATGAAGATCATCAACTTGAAGGAAGGGATTAAAACTGACATGACTGATGGCTTTCTCTCTTTGGAAATGCTTGGCGATGGACACAAATGCAAATTCTGTCTAATTTGCATGTAACCTCATTAGCATACTTTTACATGTATATGAACCACCCCGCCAGGTGTCCAAAGCTGGACGATATCAAACAATAAACTGATTACAAACAAAATGTCCTTTCCTCTGTTGACTGACTGTACTAATAATAGATAATAGTTATCCAGTAGCTCTAAACCATTTATTAATAAATATTCATTTTTTGTATTTACATATAGCACAGAAATGAGACAGACATATGGGTAGGGGCTGCTTTAGATCAAGTCTAATTTTGTTTCTAAAATCAGAGATGTAACGAGAGTGCCGATATTTTCGCCTAAAATTACAGCTATAAAGAAGAGCCTTGTACCAAAGGTGCCAATGTTACTTAACATGTGAAAAAAGCCTGAAATTGGGATACTCCATGACACCTTGCGTGTCTTCCAAATGCTAAATTTCCATAATATCTACTGTGTGCTTAACAGTCTAATACAAGTGTGTTCACTAAAACCAGTACTGTAACAAGTTACATGTAAGCAATATTCATTTCCAGTTGGATTCAACAATCTAGGAATAAGGTAACAGTTTGTGTGCTTTGTTAAGCAAAGCAAAGATGAATGAACACCTATGTCTCCAATAAAACAAAAATGAAGCATTGAGTGAAATGCAGAAATAGACCAGCTCTGTGATCTCAATTTGTGATTGTGAGCACTCATTTTCCAGAACAAAAAAAATTTTTCCGTAAATGTTGATGTACAGGGCAGTCCATTGAATGCCAAGAAATGTGCGCCAGACATTCGTCCATGTTTGTTGTGATTGAGAAGCAAGATGCCCATAAGCGACAATATGGTAATTCCCAATGCAGAGCGCCACTAACAGGTTGTCATGGGGAGGCCTTTTTGCAGTGCATTATGGCATAAATAGTTGACAAAGTCTCGTTCATTAAACTGCACTGTGCATGGAAAACTTGTTTTTTTTTCCAGAATGTTTGTTTCTTTTGGTTGAAAATTTGAAATTGCTTATTGCAAATGGGTATTAGGTAGTCAAAATGATGGTTTTGCGTCCTACAAGGAACACCCCAATCAATCACATATCCCCTAATTACTTCCACAGTGCGCTTAATAGAGGCAGCAAATCGACCACAAACTTGAAAAGTGGCCTCTTTGAGGCAAACTCTTGGTGGCGCTCTGTATTGTGAATCGCCGGTATTCTGGGAGAACAGGTCACTTTTAAGCTAAGACCATCTTAATTTTCAAGTGCCATCAATGGTCTACCGGTTACCAGTTACGTGCAGAAGGGTTTCAAAGAGTCAGAGAAAAATGTCACAAAACTGAGGTGTCCGGTTTCTTTGTGAGAACTTCCACTCGGCAAAAGTAGCAAGAGTTGCATATTGCTCTACTGTGTTCTCCTTTCATCACCGAAATAGGTTTTTTTCCAGATACTGTATATGTTAACAAACGAAACTGCTTCAATGGAATCATATTGCCATATATGTTACTTTCACCATTTTTCTCTGGCAAACCAAACCAATAGCGCTCTAGTTAGCAGTAATACAGTTTGACACACTGACTACATTATCATCACATGTACATGCACAATTTACACTTCAAATATCAACTATATTTCAAATCAAGGTGGCGCGAGTTACCCAGATACTTTACAGATAGCATTTTTCATTACTCTTATACCACACCTAGTATAAAACACAGACCTGATCAAGAATATCGGTCAGCGGTGTATAGCAGTACTTAACATAGCAGTGTGTTTCAAACAACATGGAGGTACGTACGCATGTTAGAAATAAAATGTAAAATGTTACTCTTTAAAATCAGTTGTACTGCTCTGATCCTGTCTGAGTTTGTGGGTCCACTGAGTCAATCCCAGTTCCTGGGCTCAACAGGTAGTGGAAATGGTAGACAGTGATTTCCTCCTTTCCCTGCCATCGTAAACAATGTGGTTCTCAAAATGAATGGAAGTTACGTGTGCTGATGTGACTCACACAAACAGAGACAGAACAACTCCTGGGATTGAAATTTTTCAATATCCAGAGCTTTACTTCTTTTCCAAACTACGATTTCAGACAACAGGAGAGTTTAGTCCCAACCAGGCCTCCATACGAGGAAAAAAATAACAGAAAACTTTTTCATTGCATATTTTTTTTAAATATCCACAGTTTTCATTGTACTGATATCTGAAATATAATTTACAAACTTTCAAAATAAAGTAATCTGCGATGATTAGAAACAAAGTTACACTTTAGTGCCAAGTTAAGACCAAAACTCAACCGAACATATTCTGGTCACAATAGAAGGAATGTCAGGCTGTCCCCAACCAATAAATAAATAAATATTCATAAGATATTCTACATCGTACATCCCACAAACTCTGCAAAAATGTAACATTAGTTCACCCTGTGAATAATTAAAACTTTGGCAAAATCGACTCCCAGGTTTTCCTTGCTACTTTTTTCAACCTCAACCGTGATTTAGGTCCAACTTCCAGTAATTTTTCATTTCAACTGGTAAATCATGTCCATTTGGATAACAATTTTCAATCACACGGCTCATTCAGTTTGGGCAAAGCTCATTTTTTTTTTTGGCCAGGGGAAAACTCTTCTTTTTTCCCCCATCATTTATTGGCAATTGTATGCAAAGTGTCATACCGCGGTGTGACAAATTAGCACTTGTGCATGAATTTTGCCTTGAAACGTCCCAAACGGTTGGGAATTCTACGTTGGCCTGGAACGTTTGGAGTAAAACGTAAATTTGTGAGCCTGTTCCCCAACCCAACTTTCATCAACTGCCGACACCTGATCAACCCCAAAAGGCTAAAGGTCTATCGCTATCAATTTCATGTTATTTTATTTCAGCGTCCACATAAATTTTGCAGAGTGCGTACAGTACCATGTTTACCCGTGTCTTCCTAGAATTCTGTACTTTATCACACACAAGCTGATTCAATTACAAAGACATGTACCCTACACACAAAGGGTGCTCTGGTGTTGGAAGCAGCATTCTATAATTTGGTTTTCTACAAAATGTGCACACACTCACTGATTACACAACCACACACAGTGCAACTTAATCTCCATGCATAAAAATCTGACACATTTTCTGAACTTCGTTTTGCATCACATAGCCTGCAAAAAAGCCACTCTACCTTCTACAGGCAGACCACACTCTTGTGAGAGTAACTATCTAATTTGGTATGCAAACATATGCAAATTACTTGATGAGGGTTAAAGCACTGTACCATGATTTTGAGAGAGTGGAACCTAAGACAAAAAACTTTTCTATGTAATGGTACTGTACCAGGGAAACTTCAGGGTGAATGAAACACAGAAATTTACTAGACGCAGTTCTTACTTTGGCTAAATACAATCCAAAGATCGTATAGCGCCGAAGGCGCAAGATGGATAATTCTGCCCAAAAGGTGTAATTACCATGGGCGCCATTTGAGCAAGCGATACGCCTGTGCAGTTTACGGTAATGCTTGGGCGCAGGCTAACCAGGTGCACGTGCCTGCCGCTGCACCTGTGCATTAATGTGCATTGCGCACGCGTATCGCTGAAATCCAAAACAAAAAAGCTGAAATCAGCTAAAAAGCTGAGAAATCTCACCCCTGGTAATGGTTCATTCTTGATTGTGCTGCCTCTTGAACGAAGCTCAGAAGGCCTTCGGCAAAGCCAATGGAGGTACGGGTAAATGGGGGATCTACCGGTGATGGTATGACATCCGCTCAACCAAAATGATATTTCATAGGGTAACTGGTTACTCCCTCACCCACTATTTCAGGGCAATATTCCATTTCAGAAACGACGGCAGCATTTTTGAAGTGATAGCTATCACTCTTTCCCCCCGTTGTTCACCCTGAAGATTCTAACCTCCAATATGTTAGACCATTTCTACACACACTCTGGAACACTCTTTCCATTGGAAGACTGAGCATTTTACGACTACAAAGCCAACAGACACCACAAAACTCTATTACTCAACCTTATTTATGTGCTTGGCACTACATGTAACTATGCACGGCAGTTACTTTCCAGAACTATAAATTCTGGTAATCTGCAAACCTGTTGCAGGTCTCCATATGGCACATACTCACCAAACTAATTAATGCCTCCGTATGTGCAAATTCTAGAAAAACTCTACAAAATTGTCTAAAATATAACTTCTGTGTGTAATCAGCCAGCGACTGTGTATTGCTTTTCAAGCGTGACAGCGTAGCTACGTGTATAGTGCGTGGTAAAAAAAATGAAAAAAAAAAAAATTGCTGTTTAGTTCCAAGAAACGTACAAATTTCTCCATGAAGACGGGCAGAAATAACTTTCACGAACAGTTTGGTAGTTCTACGGGAAATGTTGCAGATGAGGATCTCTGCAAATCTCCCAATGTGTACGTGTACTTTCATGCAGTCATTGTAAAATCCTGTCTGAATCTTATGTGCATATACATAGCAGCCTTTTGTGACATCATCATTTCTTTGCTCATGCATAAACATGAACTTTTACAATGGTACTACTGAATTATTCAGGAAAATTACTCCTTCCACCTCTGGGGAAACTGCTCATTTCAGGCCTGTTTTGTGCATGCAAAGATGCATCATACAAGTTTGCCACCACAGACAGCCACAAGATATTCTTGTTAAATTCTTGACAGAGTAATGCAATTATGGAACACTTAAGTTTGACCCTGCAATGAAATTTTTGGTATTCAATAAATTCAATCAAATTACCCCAGAAACAAAATAATCTGGTGCCTTGGCAGACACTTCTCATTTCCTTCCAAAAATGTTAAAGTTTGGCAATCATTTGTCACGGAGTGAACAGACAACAGAAACAAATCTTTGGCACAGAGTTTTGTATGCTCTCAACTCATCCAATCCATTCAGACCGCAATGCTTAGAAAGGTAGATTGAGAACCGCGGAACAAACACAGTACTTCGAGGCCAAGGCTACGTACCATCCTACTGCTGTGCTGAACTTGGAAAGAACATTTTTAAAGTTGGGCATGGCAACAGCACAGCGTTTAGCGCTCATTCGGCTTGGCAAACTGCCTTTGGCACCGTAAGCCTCGTGACTTGACAAGGTATGCCGCGCTGCTGTTGTTCCAAATAACAGTGGCGTGACACTGCTCTATTTAAGTTAGCACAACTGCCGCACTATTGCCATGCTATAGCCATACTCTTTTTAATCAAGTTTGGCACACGAGTAACATGGCGTACAACCTCGGCCTAATCTTCCGAACTAGAGAAGAGTTTGCTGAAAGTGTGCCAGAATACCCATAGTCTGGGATGACCTTATCTTGGGTCAATGGTGCACCTACCGTGTTGTTGACAGAACCGTTGAAGCCTGGCACACTTGACATAGAGAGAAGCCAATTTAGGTAGTGTTTTAAGTTAAAACGTTGTCTCCGTTTTAGAATTTCCAATACTGTTTGAGTGTATCTCCACTTCGTTCTTGACAGTGAACTGGATTCCTCCCTCATCCTCATCATCTGCGTCCAGCTCATCGTCTGTGGCGTCTATAGTGTCCGGTTCGTCTCCTGTAGCGTTCTCCATCATCTCGAAACAACGCCGTTCGGCCTGCTGGAGGCCTCCACTGGAGGCTTCCGAGAGAGGCGATCCGCGGTTGCCACGAGCGGCACTGGTGGAGGGGGGCAAGGGCGACATGGGCACATCGCCGTCGAAGCTAGTCAGGTTGTCGTCCAGGCAAAGGAGGCCGGCGCTGGTGTTGGCGCTGGCTGAGGGCAGGCTGCCCACGCGGTGGCTGGCCTGCAGGCCCGTCAGGTCGATGTGGTCGGTGATGGTGGAGTAGACCGGGGCGCTCATGTACGGTGCCGAGCGGGGCATGGATGAGCCAACATGGGCGCCGCCGCGCAGGCTGGCCGGACTGTAGTTGGAGAGGTTGCTGTCTGAGTCACGTGAGGCCAGAGGGGGCTCTAGCCGGTTGTTGGCAGCACCCCCTGACGCTGGCGTCGATGTGTCATAACCGACCTGCCGCTTGATGGGCATGGGGGCTGCGATGGGTTTCACGGGTGACTGCTGCTCGATCATCGATGCGTAGCGCTCAAAGGTACTCAGTCTGGATTTCTTGGGGCTCTTGGCCTTGGCCAAGTTATAATCGGATTTGGAATCGGAGAGTTTCTTTGGCTTGGCGCCGGAGAGCAACAACTCTGGATCTTGACCGGAAATGCTCTGAAGCTGCTCCAGGACTTCCGGCCTCTTCAGCTTTTCTGCTCTGGATCCGTTCGTGGCTTTCTTCGGGACGACTCCTGGGGTCTTGGACATTGCCCCAGATTTCTCCTCCTCCTCGGGGATGCTCGACGTCCTGTCCATGGAGAAGGACCTGAAGTGATCCCGCCTGAGACTGAGGTGGAATGCAGATGGTCTGACTTGCTCCTCTGGCGTCAGCCCCTCCTCCAGGGGCACCTTGCCCGTCTCCTCCCGGTCCTGGATGAAGGCCAAGTGTCGCAGCCGCTGGGTGGGCTCCCTGCTGGGGGCGGGCTCCCTGCTGGGAGCGGCTGCCCTGCTATGTGGGGTGGGAACAGCCTCGGGGCTGCTCTCCGTGTCGCTGTTGCCGCCCACCATCTGGGCCAGGGCATGATTCAGCATCTGCTGAATGTGGTAGACTGAGCGTGTTGTGTAGAAGGCCAACTCTTCCAAGTGGAGCAGGCGACGGTCAAAGGCCCTCAAATTCAGCTTGGTGAGGTTCTCCTTCTCCACAATCTCTTCCAAACGGAGCGAGTTGTCCTCAATTCTACAATGAAAAGGACATGCGCATGATAAATTTAACAAGAATAGTCAGACCTCCCCCCCCGTATTAAGGCCAGTGTATACTTGCCGAAAGTGAACAAAAGTGAACGCCACCACAAAATCGTGACAACGGACAACACATCTGTGCTGCTAATCGGCAGATGTTGAACCTGTTTCAACTGAAGCCTATCTCACTGCAAATATATCAAGACACAGACTCTACTTATTTTTTACCGGAAGTGCAAACCAGCCTCTAGGCACTGAAGCTCCATCAACACGTTGTGAAGTGTGTTGTACATCTGTTGTATTCACTGTTTTTTGTACCCACATGTGTCTCTATGACTAAATTTTCTAACTGGGGATCTGACATGTCTGATAGTGGGAGTTTAGGGGAGGGGCAAACCTCAAAACGTGGAGGTGGGCGGGAATTTCTCATTTGCTCCCTCCCACCTACGACAACTTTCCTGGACTTCCGTTACGCTGTTGAGAATATTTAATGCAAGGAAACCAGAAAGTCAAGACCACCTCTGCGAGACGGTCTTCAGTCTCTCGTCGTTGGAGGACTGCTTCTTGTCGTGTTTCTCCCGGAAGTATAACTCCAGACAGGCTTCCTCGAAATCTCTCAACTTCTCTACCTCCTCAGGTGGCAAGAAAAGTTCTGGAAAGAAGATGACAAGACATAGGAATATTCACCACCGGTGATATGCGCTAAGCTCTCTGATGGCAAAGACGGTAGCAGCTAATTAACGAGTGGTCAGATTGTGGACAGTGGGTGGTGATCTCATGTTACGTTCTGCACCAGAGAGGACTTTCTATGCTAAGGTTATCGAGTACTAAAAACCAAAGAATTGAATCCTGAACGAAGTCTGGAAGATCTTGCATCTCTGGGCTGTTCACGATGTTAAAACGGTCTGGTCGTCTCATTTTCTCATGGCCAACGGACGGCAGGCTGGACCCAACTTGGGCAAGCTGGAGCACAAGCTATAGTTCAACCGCAGGCCAACTGCCATACAGCCACTCTAGACTGACCCTACTTCCTACTTAAACCACTTGCTGTGGAATCCCATCGTCGCTCAATTGTCAATGCGTTAAAGTCTCTGCCATCTCACAAATAATTAGTTATCACGTCAACAGTTCCCTCTGTAGTTATTATGAGAAGTGGTATTGATAACCAGCGATGCAAGCTTTACCCTCTGGGTCTGATTCCAGATGGTCGCCTAGACTAGTCTGAACGTCCAGCATTCGAGTGGTGCCGGTTGAACTGTGATTAACTAACGATCGTTGATAAACTTACTCAGACCCTGGTCGATCTTGCTGGGCCGCGCACGCTTGCAGCGGCAGACCACCAGCTTGATCAGCTGGTAGACGTGACAGAAGATGATCAGCGGCGGGGCAAGGAAGGGCTTCTGCTCGTAGTTCATGGTGAGGTGGTAGCGCTGGAACTGCCAGAGCTGCCGGGCGATGGAGTTGACGGCGTTGAAGGTGTTACTGACAGGAAGAGGCAGAAGAGAATGTTTATAAAGACGAACAAAGAAATTGACTGGAGTGGGATTTGAACCTGCAACCTCCAAAGTACCCCTACCGGTGCTCTACCAACAAAGCTATCCAGCCCTACGTTGGTGGCTCTTCCCATTGTCAATATCATTGCTCGGGGGGTGCTAGTCAGAAGCCATAAACCCTGAAACACCATGTACCTGGGGATCAGACGAGATAGTCTGGGTATAAACCTACGGAATCAGGGACTGACAACCCCATTCACATGTGGACCGGGCTGAGAACTGAACCTGGCCACAGAGAAGAATACTGAGGAGAGAACCAGCAACGGCCACAACCTCCAGCTTCCCGGTGCTGACATCTTCCCCAGTCGAGCAACCAGCTTGCCAGAGTAAGCTTGTGGCTTGTTTCGTAAGTCCTCGCAGGGTTACTGAGCACACAAGCATTTATAAAGACGCGCTGGTGCAGGGCAAGACTCCCAAAAGTGGCATCTTACAAAAAAACGACCACTTACTTGAATACAGCAATCAGCAGGCTGACGAGTAGAATAATGGTAACCACGAGATACACAGCCATGGCGATGGGCACGGTCCAATGACCAGGTGGACAGGGGCCTTTCTCCGTCCCCTCTCCGCAAGGAGCTGATGGAAAAAGAAACAATTGGTGTGAACATACAAAACCAGTTTGCAACCAGGCAATGTGATGTACTGTCTGAGACACCGTAGCTTCACTGCTCAAGAACAGTCACGTCGCAAGCTGTGAGAGTGGATGCAAAAATCGCTGATGTCATGAAAATATCCACTTGTACCTTATCTGCATCACAAAGCCATTGCATCCGAAGGTGTTAAAGGCATGTGGTCCGAAACTGAATACTGTGACCACCCGTGAATCTGATCACCAACAGGAAAGAGCACAGAGATAAGAACGGATAGAGAAGAAATGATAAGGGGACCATGGCTCCCGGATCCACTCTTGGGGCATCGCCTGAACTCACGGTTGATTTTATCGGCGTAGACCTCCCCGTAGATCATGAAGTAGGGCTCCTTGAACACCTCCCGCAGCAGGATCCAGGAGAACTCTTCATTGGGATTCAGGACCGACTGCCGCACCACGCCGAAGCCCATCAGGAACAGGATCAGGAGAATGATGAAGTAACACATGTCGCGCATCTGGAGGAAGAAGAAATCCCAAAGGGAATCACTGCGATGAGGAAACAAAGGCTGCATTTTTCAAGTTGAGCCTTTACTACGCATAAATATGGACAGGCCCACAAAAAGTGGTGGTCAGGTTTGAGTGTCAGGCCAATTTACATAGAACTTGACCCAAGGCCAATGAACTTTAATCTCATCCTAAGGTGCATGTTTAATTCACTGCAGTTTTGAACTAAAACTGTACGTTGGGACTTTTGAAACTTCTCTAACTCTAACAGTCGTCAAATCCCCCTACAAGGGAAGGATTGAGGACCGTTAGGATTACTGAATATTTTGTAGGCAATTAGAAACTAATAAATGAGCTCTCAATTCATTCCTTATGCCCATGGTCGGTCAGTCGGTCGGTCAGTCAGTCAGTAGATCTTTAATAATTGTAGACAGACATTCAAAACATGTACGGTACATTGCCTTATTTTTCAGAAGAAATTCCCACTCTGAAATTGGTCTAATTAGAAAGCAGCATGTGTGAAAACTGACCATCTTGCCGATCATGTTGACGAACGGCCCCAGGTAGATATTGATGCTGAGTATCTCCAGCACCTTCAGGTACCACATGATGATGACCACGCAGTAGATGACGCGGCCGGCCGACTTGGTGGCCGGAGCAAAGCGGAAGCCCATGCCCACCAGGAAGAAGATGATGGCCAGGGCTTCGTGGAGATGCCAATAGGAGGAGTAGAACACCCTCAACTTGAGGGACAAGCGGATGGGCTCAGAGGCGAGAATCTGTGAAAAAGTAAAAACAAAGAGGAAAACAAAATTTGCGCAAAAACAGTGGCTTTCCCAAGGTTCTCTGTTCTGAGTACTGTTTATTAGTTCAATTATTAGTTGTATTACTTCAAGTATCAGTTTCAGTATTTACTTTTAATAGGGAGCGTCTCGAACAATGGACACGAACATTGTCAGATGTAAATTTTAACAATGTGATTCGTAAGAGCCTCGACAAGCTCGTTTAGGTAGCAGGTTTGTGCTTTGAGGATCTTCCTGTGAGAGGATTGGAGCATGAGGAGAAATTCCCAAAATACCAGCAGAAGAGTTGTTGACAATGACAATTTTGGCACAGAAAAAATAAACAATTTACACCTGTTTTACAATAATATCCCACAACAAAGATGCTAAACACTGACGACAAACCCCTCTAAATTTTTTTCAGAGTTCGTAGCTGAAACAAAATAAACAAGGAATAGATTCGGTCCAAACCAAATCTATTCCTTCTGGCAAGCACTGGATCTTGAGGAGGAATCGTTGCGCCAACATTCGATTGTCAAAAAAGCTGGATTTTTAGCCAGGTAAAGTATGTCATGTGATGCTTCGGCCTTACCTCTCGCACATGTTCCATCCCTGAGGTGACGATGTACGAAATGACAAGGAACTCGTAAAAAGGTGGAAAATCTGGTAACTTGACCAACACCATGTAGTTATACAGGCCCATGAAACCGAAAAAGCAAATCTGAAAAGAGGACAAAAAAAAGGTGAAAAGATTTAAAGGTGATTGACCTACCTGAAAACAGATCCGAACACTGAATTTGACAACACATTTCATTTGTTATAAAATCCTAGACATTAGAAAGTAAGTCACAAGCTAAACTAAGTCACAAGCTATTCGAATAGACTGTGATAAAAGAACTCCCTTGTTACTCTTTGCCTGATCACTTATGACCGGTCTTATGGAAGGACTTAAGGTTGATTCGACTACAGCAGTGACAACTAATATTGAGATAGGACTAGTTCATCAGGAAAAATTAAATATTTAAGAGCATATAAGTGATTATGACATCTAAAATGATTTCTAGATTTAAGTAGCACCGACAGAAATCAAAGGAAAAAAATGCAATAATTTTATTTAGAAGGATAAGAAGAATTGTTGAGGGTTAGGAAAAGGTGAACGCTAATACCGTGTAAGCCCAAAACTTTGTCATGGGGGACTGGTAGAACTCGTACACCTTCTTGCCCAGACGAAGCTGCTTCCTCGGAGGGGAGACAGACGAGGTCATGAGGTCAGTGGTCATCTGCGGGGAAGTGGGCTTCAGGGGTTGGGTGGCCTTCCCGTCCAGTGACTGCATCTGCACGGGTCAGAGATCAAGACAGTAACAATGATAAAAAACCAAAACTGAAGTACTAGCGAAGAACTTGATTGCAACAATGAAGTACTAGTGAGGTACTTGACTACAACAAAGAAATACTAGTGTGGTATTTGAACACAACACTGAAGTAACAGTAAAGCATTCAACTAGAATACTGAAGCATTTATGAAGCACTTGACTGAACACTGCAGTCTTTGTAAAGCACTCAACTGTAACACTCAATTACACAGTCCTGCAGTACTGGTAAACTACTTGACTTTAAAAAAAATGAAGTGCTAGTAAAGAACTCAACAACGATACAAAAGTGATGTACGAGTGAAGCTACAGCTGCAATACCGAGGTACTGATGAAATGTGTGGTTCCCACACTGAGGTACTAATGAAGTACTTGATTTCAACATTGCTTTACCCCGACTCCATCTTCCTCGTCCTCCTGCAGGTGATGGAAGGAGGTCTGGGAGCCGCTCCCCGGGTCCTCTCCTTGCTCCTCCGAGTCCGAGTCGGCCAGGTCGTGCATGTGCTCCTCCAGGGTCTGGGGCATAAGCTGCAGCTCCTCCTTGCTCTTGAAGCTGACCACGCAGAGGATGGCTGGTGGGAAGAGCAGGGCGAAGATGACCTGACACAAAGACACAGGGAGCTCAACTGGTTAGAGCTAACCCCCTCTGATCTTTCAAAATCAATCCAACTAAAATTCTGGAGGATTCAGGATGATTCATAAAGGTTTGAACTCAGCTAATATTAACTCATGGTACTTCTGGCTCCTTGAAAGTTCAAGTACAAAGAAAGTGTCATTGGTTTCCTGCAAAATGGAGGATTTGGGATGATTCAGAGAGAGTTGTCCTTAATTTTTCTATATCCTCCAAGTCACTTCAGCATGCCACACTGCACAGAAAGTTACAGACATCCGCACGCTCCCAGGAATACTTCGGCAAAAACTCTGGGATGCAAGAGGCACGCTTACACTCTACTTCCCTGCTTACCAGTTTGTGATACAAAGCTTCAAGCAACACTTAACCAGAACAAAACACATGTAAGACTGGACTTTCTGCTTAGGATGGCACGACCGTCTTGCTCCTGAATATGATAAAAAATCCTGCACACAGGGCCTCGTCTTAAAGCTTGAGTCTACCGCTTGGTCTAGGTATTCACTTGCTGCAACTTTACATGTGGCTGTGGCTATCGAGACACATTTCAGACACCATCCGACCGCACTCACCCTGAGGTTTATGTACTTAGTGGTGACCATGCCGCCCAGCCACAGGTCGCTCATCAGTCGCTGGCAGCAGGGGTGGGCCAGGAATTCACGGTTCTTGCCGGCCGCCGCCAGGCTGAGCGAGGTGTGCTTGCTCCAGTTGTCCAGCTGGACCGTCAGCAGCTGGATGGTGGTGTCGTCGTCCGCCCGGTAGCACTGGTCTAGGAGTTCCACAGACAACTGCTGGAACTCCCTAGATCGGTGTGGAGGTGGTACAGAGAGATGCGACAACTTTGCATTAGAAGCCATTTTGGGTCTCAAAGTCTAATCTATCATTTGCCATGTTTCTTTCAAGCACTACACTTCAAGCCATATTCCAATCACTTGGTGCGACCCTATGCACAGCAACCCAACTTGGAAACAAAAAGGCATCATACAACACTTTATACGTGATCTCACATCACAACTCTATCTGTCTACAGCTGTACGAGAGCGGGGCAGAACAGTGGTTACGTATTTTCTAACACTAACTAGGTGTCAATATATGCTTGACACCTCTTGCAAATAGAAGGAAAGTTGCACCTTCACCACTTGGAGGCAAACAGTCCAAGGTGAAAAGTTGGAATTTTAAGATGCCTTCTCAAATAGAAAGTTGGTCACATTTATCTGTTTTTCAACAGCTCTTTTGCCCATGAAGATGAGGCTCTAAAGATTTTTGCTGTTGCCTTCAGACGGCAGGCCATTTCCAGATGATGCAAAAAAAAACAAACAATCCCTCACTCAGAGTATTTGCGCAGCTCGTCACCAATTTCCATCTCCATGTTGACAGCGTCGGCCGTCCTGGCCAGCTCCTTGTACAGCTTGCTGGCTACCAGGGCCTTGGCCATGGCCTCCTCGTCCTGGGCCCACATGAAGAGCGCCATGCACTGGCGGCCCATCAGCACCGCCCAGACGAACAGCTCGTTGAAGGGGAAGTTAAGGGTGTCAGTGAACTTGTAGATGGTCTCGCTGTTCTGGATGGTGTCGGTGATGAAGTTGAAGGACAGGCCCTGAAACCGATGACAAACATTTTGCTTTTAATCATTTTGCAGCCACTTTTAAGTACACATTTGCAGCAAAGCCGGTTTGGGGACTTCCCTTCCATATCCATAATAAGAACTCTCAGGGTTCCAGTTGGCAAATTTTAGACGGTAGCCAATTTTCAGCAGAATGCGTGCTTTTTACAGCAAGTTCCTTTTTTTAAATGTAATACTGAATAAAATTATTTTTCTTGCCAACTGCTCAGGATTACGGCCAAAGTTTAATAACTGTTTGCCATTCAGCAATGATGATAAAAATCTGCCAGGAAAAATTCATTAAGCTTGCTAGGGTGAGACTCGAACCCACGACCTCCTGTGCCGAAGCCCTAACCGCTCAACCATAGACTTGTCACAGTCAGCTGGCCACTTTGCATTTAATGTAGCAGTGAGTACCAATGTGAAGACTGCTGAAGCTTTAGCTTCAATATGTATTGAAGCAAGTGACCAAATCATTAAATCAGTAATTCAACTCTTTGCAAAGCTGCTTGTTCATTTGATATTATGTTGGCCTCGGTTTCGCTGCACCTACCCGCTTGATTGACGTTTGGTAGAGGGCCTTGAAGCGTCGTTCTTTGAACGTGGACTGGTAGGTGCCTCCCATCAGACTCTCCATGGCTAGGCCGACGTCGTACAGCGTGTATCTCTGGATGTAATTCACCTGCACAACCAACGCTCGATAGTCAGGTTTACAATGCTTTATTGTAACAATTTCCTTGGCATGCAACAACACATATTTCTGTACTCTATCCAGATGGGATGCCAGTCCATTGCAGGTAATCCAAAGCTAAAATGGCCCTTGTTTATACCCCTGAGTGGTGAGGGGCAGATATGGGTGGTATGCGGCTTGCTCGAGGACAAAAATTGCAACCAACATTTTGAAAAAGCTGCTTCCGAACTATGGTCTTTTCATCAACCTCCTAGGTCCACAGAGAAAAAAAAAAGAAGATCTTTCAACTAAATTCTTAAAATGGCCTTCTGTCTTCCATTACTTTCCCTGTTGAACTCTGTATGGCCATTCTTAGGGAATGACGGCAACTGTTTAATTTTTATGCTCATTTAAATTTCCATATTCACGGCAAAACTGTGTTGTCGTCTTAGGCCAAACCTGTTTCGTTGCCAGAACTTATCCTAATTCTCAGTTTTCTCAGAGGTCAAATTCTTAAATTATCTTTGTGTTTTGCATGGTTAAAAATTAAACGTCTCACAAAAGTACAGAAATTGCTCAGTTTTATTTAACAGAAATTTGTGTAAACTATGATTTGATGTTTTTTACAAGTCTTTTGGTCAAAAGAACCAGTTATGCTTGGTAAAAGAAAGAAAAATTCAGATATCTAACCTGCTTAATATCTCTAATGAGATGATGCAGCAGACAGGTTGGGCCAGGTCTCTACAGAAACGCAAATACAAACACAAAAAGAACCAGGAGGAAGACAAATTATGAATTGGTTTCAGCTTTGAAGAAGAGTTAAAGCTTAAATCCATTCCACACATTTGTATGCTTTCTGAAACAGGACTTTTCAAGAAATGTATCACTGCACTGCAAAAGGTGAAAGAAGATCTTCTGGTGTCATTGCGGTCATGGCAAGGCCCTCACATACAGACTAGTGATCTGTTTCACTGAAGTTAACAACTGGCTTTTCCTGTTATTACCCGACTGATCAAAACCCCAGGAAGCTACAAAAAACTCGATCTTCACAAGCCACTAAATTGATTCGCCTCACCGTGTTGTAGAGCTCTTCCAGCCTGGCTATCGTCAGGAACTTCTGCATGTTGACGCCGTTGTCCTTGAGCAGCTTCACAAACTCCACCTTGTCCTGGATCAAGGCTTCCATCATGATGTTCTCCAGCACATTCTCCTATGAAAAAGACGGATGTGATGCAAGAAAGAAAACACACAAGCAAGTGTCAGACCTTCGCAAATCACCAACTGTCAGTTTGATTTGTAAGATGTAATTTTTGCATCCAAGAGATGTAATTTCAAAATTGGGTGTTTCAGAAATACGCATCAAAGGGAAAGAACTTGCTCTTTTGACTTGAACTGGCCAGCTGACTGCAGCGTGCTCAGTGGATGTCTGCACTAGTAGCAGGTTAAGATGCCTGCACTAGTAAGCAGGAGGGTGTGGGTTCGAGTCCCACCACAGTAAACTTCTGTTATTTCTGTCATGGGCAATTACTCAGATGTCAAATGGATATGCCCCAGGAAAAATTGTTGAATAAAAAAAAAATCATTCAAGTCTGATACCTGCCATGCGCGAGTGCAAACCAGAGAGTAAATACTTTTATCGTTTTGATTTTCACATGAGCTTTCAGATTGTAACATTCAATTTACAGAATGCCTCTGCAACTGATTTCCACATATTCATGCTGATTTAGAACTCTTGGGAATAGGTCCACAAAGTGGACTTTTTAAAGGATTTCTAAGCCTTTTACATTTATGATCAAAATATCATAAATCATCCAAATCACATAGGGCCGATATAAATGAGATAGACAATAGTTGGCTGGCAAAATTGAAATGCCACAAACTTTGAAAAATACTCCAAACAGAATTCTACACGTCACTTGGTCAGGTTGATCAAGAAAGACATAGTGATGCGAAAGAATTTCGAGAAAAATTTGGCCAGAATTGCACTCCCTTCCTCGCGACAAAAATAAGCTCTGTTTTTCCCCCACCTCATACATGGCAATAACAGCACACGCCGCAATTTCAAATGTCACGAACGTCCTCAGCATATTAAAATGCCACGCAGGAACATTTTCAGCGCAAGGCCAGCCCCGAGCAAGACCACATCACAGCAACGCTCCCCCTCCCCCCCCAGCAAAACCTGGAACAAGCCCTCGGTCCCTGCAGCAAACCAGCTGGGCAAACACATGGGCAACTCAACTCAGAAAGCGAACACCTTTTTTTAATCAATTCGGGTGAATCTTACCAAATAACTGGAGCATCCCTGAGACATTTTTTTTCATGAGGGCCAATCTCCCGAGAATGTTTTCTTTTTTTTTTCATTTCGGCCCATTCATTTGACCTTCCTACACGCATGAGTCACCAATTATGTGCGGTCCCCCCAATAAACATCAATTTAAATCACCTCATTCATTTTGACACGACAGCATGAAGGTAGCCCTGCTGAAAGCGACAGTCAGTGGTCTATGTAACGATGACTTATCCCCTTGTTTAAACCCTCCGACTTATATTCTGGACCATTCCTACTGTTATATAAATATGCTAATCAGCACTCGTAGAATCAATGCATAATTCAGTGCACTAGCATACCGGAGGAGCAAGCTTGGTGATTTTTTTTTTTCAATTGGCTTAGATGATAAATTTAGATGATTTTGTGAAGCAACAGTATCAAAGTTGAGCAAGGCTCACACCGACACTGAGAATATCTTGGTCTAGAGGATCCGCTGTCCTATCATGTGCTACAAGTGAATCGGAATCTGGGAGGCAAACTGCAGCTTTTCCGTACTTGTGAAACTGCTAAAATCGGAAGGGCACATTTGACAGACAATTAAGAATGTCCTAAAGTGGGGGCGTGGCTTAATGATTAGGGCGTGACAACTTCCGATCACAGGGTCGGGTTCGAATCCAGCAGTTTTTGCATGTTACGGCCTTGCGTAGGTCATTTGACCCCTACTCGCCCATCTCCATCGAAGCATATAAATGGATACCAGTGAAGGTAGAGGTAGGATGTGCACTGATATCGGCTGCTGAAATTCGTCCCATGGCCCGATGAACAGGGGTAATAATTCGAACACTGTTTTGACAGCAGTACAGGTAGGTATGTCGGCTATATAAATACAAGTTACAGCTCACCTGCCAATCACGGCCATGTACAAATATCTGCGACTTGGCAATGTCGGCCCGATTCCAGGCCAGGCAGAGGCTGAGCTGATCCACGTAGGAGCGCGTCTGGGCTTTGAGGAGGGCGGTCAGGATGGCCACATCAATGTCGATGTCGTCCTCACTCAAACAGAACAAGGTGATCTGTGACAGATATGAAAAAAAAAAACAACCCTGGCTTCATTTTACAGCATGTGCTTACCGTTGTCCGATTATCTACAATGCAAAATTAAAGGGATGGTCGGAGCAATTTGTTCTTATGACCTTTCAAATCCTTTTGTTACACCAGATCATGCCAGGCCCTTGAAATGCAATCAAGAGGTTATAAGATTTTGCAGGATCGTGGAATACTACCTCACCTGGGTATTGAAGCCACTTAAATTTCAGAGCCAAGAATGTTCCGTGGCCAAAGCTTCCTGCACTGTCACTGACAGATAGGAGGCAAGAAAAGGCCCTGAAGCATTTTTCCTTCTTTGTTTTTTTAAATATGAGGACACTTTTGGTTTATTTCACCCCTGTCCATCATATGCAAAAAGACCAAATATCTAGCCTATCACCTGAAAAATCTCTTACCAAATCCTGATCTTTTGCCCCCCCCCACTTTTTGCCACTTTCCCTTATAAAAAAAATGGTTGTGAATCCATCCTTGTTCACAGTGTAGGACACTTTACAGGTTCCTGGCAAGAATGCCAGGGACGTTGGCAGTTCAGAGAGCTTAGCAATCATTTCCGGACGGACGTACCAATTCTTTCTTCTTCATGCACAGCATGAGCTCCACGAAGAGTTTGTCGGCCTGCTCCTGGCGCAGATGGAAGGTGTGCTTCATGGTCTCCAGGAGCTGGTCCTTGAGAGATTCGTCCATGGTGCTGCGAGGAGAGACCAGAGAAACAGAAACTTGATCCAGACTTTGTTATCAGAAACTTTTTGTTCTGTCCCCACTGAAAAGAGAGCATCTCTGAGGTTGCATTTAACCTGCCAGTCATCACAAGATCCGACGGTGACATTGTTCTGTGGGACTAGCTCTCCCAGTCTCAGAATTGGCACCTACTGCAACTGCTCTGAGCGACAAGGTCCCATACACTTTTGAAACTGTTGCGTTTTGCTACAAGTAGGACGATTGGGTCTGGTAAACCATGACTTACTTTCCAACAAAGATAAATTGACCCACCCCCCCAAACCTCCCAACCCCGCCCCCCAAAATAGAGAATCTTACCCGTCTTCCTGAGCATATTTGTGAGTGAATGCTATGATGTCGGCTGCACGCCCCGTGCCGTCAAAGACGACCACAGGGATAGGGGGACGGCTGGTCACGTTGTTCAGGATGTTGCGGATGGTAGACGCCCCACCCTCGATGACTACACTGACGAGGGGCACTCGCCGATCTGAGGGGTTAGAAATATAAACCCCTTCAAAAAATTCTGAGGAAATCTTTACATCAATGAACCCTTTGGCTCTGTGGGGCCCACTGTGCCGGCCAAAACACATAAATCCACAATGCAGTCCCATCAACTTCCCATAATTATTTCCAATGCTTGACTGGCAGAATATAACACTGGTTTTAGCAAGTTTTCTTGTAAAAAACTTCCAAGGGAGTTACATGCACTACGGTTGCAGGCCACAGCCTTCAGATGTGGCCTTATAGTTGTAGGCCCATGTCTAGTGTACCTAGGTGGCTATTATACAACACTAGAACCCATTGAATTGGAGGAGATTCTTCAGATTACAACTAGTAGATGCTCCTCACTGTAAAGCGTGCGTGTCTCCTACTCCAAGCAGATGTCATGAATGACGGAACAGCAGATGACAGCCCCAGTGTTTTCAAAGTACCAACTGAAGTTGGGCTTGAGGGAAAGACTACTCACATCCCCGGTTCCCTAGCCGCTGCTGGGAGATGTATTTCTCTAGTCTCCGCCTCAGGATCAGCTCGCACCCGTACTGGTCCGAGGTGCCGTTGTCCACCAGCAGGAAGTGGGTGTGGTGGCTGTTGAGTTTGAATCCCTTGGAGATGGGGCAGGACACCGAGTGATACGGCTTGGTGGTCTGAAGAGAAAAATTGCAGAAAGTCAGAAATGTGCATCCAACATTGTGGTATCCATTCCAATTCAATACAAGACTAGCAATTTTCACTAACAGATATGACACAGATTAATGCCATCTATCTATGAGGTCGTGAGCTTCATGGTTTCTCTCTGACGAGAATTCATCAAGACATGTAATCTATCGCTGTTTAAAATAACAGCTCTCTGCCTCATTTAGAACTGTTTGATGTTGAAAAGTTTGATGTTTACGAGTAGCACGTGATTTGAGGTAATCGGACGCAAGACCTTCCAAAAATCGAATCTCAGGGAAACCGAATTGATCATTTCTGGAAGTTGATTCCGCAAAAAACAGAAGCCTCGATTGATTTGAATTTTTTTCTTGCATGGAAAGAGCCACCATTACAAAGTCAAGATGTATGAAGACTACTTAAATCCCCAAAAGACAAAAAGAACAGACCAAGACTGAATGCTGCAGGAGAAACACTTTCATTACAAATACATGTTCCTGGTGGTGATGACCTCAGGTGTGTCCAACTTATCGCCAACTGCTCTAAACAGTTTTCAAGTGGAGTTTTTTGGTATGACTGGCTAACAAAGAGCCCGGCAATTACTTTCAGTGAAGCACAATGCATCTTGTAAATTCCAATACATTGGTTTCTCATAGAGTGATAGATTTTGGAGGATTCGGGAAGGTTACTAGGAAAGAATGCAGCCGGGGTTACTACCATGGACGGGGACCAACTCACATCTTTGCCGACGAGGCTCTCCCTGTTATTCAGCACCCCCCAGGGAGCAATGCCGATGGTGACAATCCGCCCCCGCATCTTGACGGAGTGGTTGTTGAGAGCATCGCCGACGTGGAGTGTGACACCTGCAAGCCAGGTATAAATGGGTCTCCTTGTTACCTTCGTAGCGATGCACTTCAATCAGTTTCTGGTCCAGTACGGCACCCACCGAGCAAGCCTTGGAACCATTTGAGAATGTTAGCCCATTTGTAGATGTGTTGAAAACGTAACAATTCATTTTAATGGCAACCATGGAGGGACAATTTGCCAACTGTTATCCTGCCCAGTTGAGAATGATACCCATCTGAGAACACATGACATCAACAGGTAATGCATACATGTACATCTAAAAATTAGCAGAAAATGTAGGACCCTTTATGGTTTGGGGGAGGTTATTTTGGCCTTCGATTATAACAATTTTTTCTTGGTGGTACTAAAGCAAGAAGCTTGACAACAATGGCAAGGTCAAAATTGCTAACGGAAAAAAGTCTTTATACTCCCATTCCAAGCAAAAATGACAAATACTCCTTTTAACAGAGTTTTCCAAAGCGAGGTGAAACAATTTTCTGCACTTTGGAGAAGGCTTCCTGGCAATACATTCCAATGAAATTAATCAAACTGGACAGAGCAAAGCGAACCATTCTAGATACGCTGTCGGACGAGAGCCTTGCCTGTGTTGGTGCCGCCGGTCAGGATCCAGGCGCCGGTGGTCCGTGCCGCCTTACTCAGCCCCTTACACAGGACTCTTTTCAGCTTGGGCTGGAGCTGGAAGTTCTGCAGCCCGCCTCGGATGGAGATGACCAGGTTGGGCAGGCCCAGGCGCCAGCAGCCCTGCAGCAGCTGCAGTATGGACTCCGGCTCGGTGGTGTCGCTCAGCCGAATGTACTGCAGACAGGCAGATTGTGGAAGGAGGCCGGAATCAGACGATTCAAGGGTTACAGAGCTCCATGCCAAATTTCACGATGGGCATGTGCACATACTGTATGTATGTGAACCAAATCATGGCTACTCCCAATCTGCACCTAGAAATATGTGTCGTTACTCCACCATAAGGATTTAGCACTAGTCCTTAAAGCCTATTCCAGGCACTGATTTGGGAAGTATATTAACCCTCCTTTGGTTTTACAGCACAAATGTGCACAATGCCCACAATCACTGGTGAGC